ACTGAAGCGGGAATATGCATGAACATTTTAAGAAAAAGTTGTAAGATTAATATGGAAAATGACAGTGTAAAACATCTTTAAATATTCTTAATTTTCTAATATCACGATTAAACTGAAATAATTGTATTTATCAGCAATTATTTTCCTAAATGTATAAACACAATCCTTTTCTGGAGTGAAAAAAAAATCCACCGTTTTCAAACAGAAGTGGCCAATAAATACTTTTACATAATTGAACCTAACTTTTATTGGTGTTGAAAACGTTTGAGAAATCAAGAAAATGACGATGACATTGTAGATTTAACTAGGAAGTGCTTCTAGCTTAAATTATCACCGTTGCTTGCTTCCATTTCTTACAAATCTTTATTGAAAAATAACAGTGGTTCCTAAATCTACTTGTCATAAAAAAAAACTCGAAAAACCCTTTGTGATGCGGCTTTTCGAGGTAAAATAAAATTCTTGTTTCAATCAAAGCTCTGTAATATGTACATTGCGGTCAGATTCATATTTCAGTGTTTCTTAATGATTCCTTTGTTTTGCCCCATTTCGGTCGGTTATTGCATAATGGGATAATGCCGATAATATTGATTTTACTCCGTATCGTTTATTTGTCATCTAGTTCGGTTAAAAGAAACAGGAATAATTGCAAACATTCATAATAATCTGACACATTCGGTAAAATAGAAACATCAATCATTTACTATTGTTGAACACAATACGACGGGTGCCGCATGTGGAGCAGGGGCTGCTTACCCTTCCGGAGCACCTGGGATCATCCCCCTGTTTTGGTCTTGTTGGTTTTGCGCAGTCTTAAGTTTTTCTATGTTGTGTTTTGTGTACTGTTGTTTGTTTTCGTTTTTAGACATGGCCTTGTAAGTTTATTGTCGAATTACGAGCTTCAATGTACCTTTGGTATCTTTGACCTCTCTTTTGAAATTGCATATATCCATTTAAGACCTACAAATCAATGCACAAAGAACAACACCAATGGATTCAAAATAACGTTAAAAAAAGAACGAGATTCAAGGCGTCAACAAGCTGAATGTGTCCTGCTATTCAGAAAAAAAAATTGTGTTAAAAAGTTGCTTATATTCAGTAAGATTTTCATCCTTTTATCACTAAAAGAGGCGCTTTGCAATATTTTCATTGATTGAACAATTTCAATAGTATAAATCTTTGTCTTTCTTCAATATAAATGACAACAATCAGTTTTTATTCCAACGAAAGAAGCCAGAATAAAAACAAAATCATTAAATTTTGCAATTATATCAGTTAATAAATGATTAAAGGTTCATGTACAAAAAAACGTGAACTACGTATTTACCTCTAATATTTTACAATATAATGAATTGTTTAAAGAAATATTGAATACATTTTTGTAAATAATGTTTTTTTTTAGGATGCCTACCCTTAAAACAAGGACAAATTCAGTATAAGCTAGTCTCAAATAGCACGATACTTACATCACTGGCCAACCAAACCCTGACATCAAGAAGTAAAATTGGATGTGCACGGTATTGCACAATATTTGACAAATGTAAAGTGTTCGTTATTTCCACAAAAACAGGACAGTGCAGTTTGTATAACAGCTTCACCGTTATGTGTGAGGGAGTTAAGCACGTACAGGAATTTCAAGTTTATATGATGAATTAAGTTTAAAATATACTGGTAAAATAAAAAAAATCTGAATAAAAAAAAATTGCCTTAAATTTGTTATGCTACAGTGTATAGCTGTAAAATAGCACACGTTATTTTTAGATATCCTTTGATACTAAGTGCCGCATGGTAACTTTTGTATGACCCTTAAACACATGTCCATTTCCAATTTGATATTTCGCATGAAATAAATGTGTGAATGTTTTTGACTTAGGAATTGAATGTTTCTTTTTGAACATTTACGCGGGTGCAAAAACGTTGACCAAACTATATTGTGTATGAAGTGCAGAAGCGCTTCATTTTAAAAGTGTGCGCATGGCCAACGCGTTTACAACCCTATAAAATTACTAAATAAGCATTCAATTCTTATAATTACATTTTTTTCCTAGGATCATGAAAACACGATTTCTATCAATGTTTTCTTTTTTTTACCTGTGCACTTTATTGTGGAAGCTCGTGTCATCATGAATGTAACATTTCATTTTGAAATAAAGTTTAGTTTCAAAATGACGCAAGATTGCAATCAAAATAGCGTATTATAATGTAACATTCATGTAATGTTATTATTAAGGTATGAAACATTTTGTTCAAAACTGTAAATAACCCTAGAAATATTTTTGATTTAATAAGAAAAACTTTTCTGCGAAGCCTGAAAGAAATGAAAACTAGCGTCTTTGTGCTCATTGGATTTTTCAGTTTAATTTTGCTCAGATGTTGACTAACGCCAACTGCAGAAATAACCAAACATTATTCGTCATGGTTACATTTTTTTTAAATCATCGTTATATCAAATTGTGATTCATTTACATAATGCAAACCTCAAAATATCACTGGAACCTCTGACGATACTTGGTTTGACACAAACAACTGTATCCAAACAATTCATTTATTTCTGTTCAACTTAAATTATTGAACATTGTCTTCAACAATTATTCCGTTGGTAATATAGCTGCTACGTTGTCACCTCAATTCCTCCTCTTGTGTATTTATTGATTATGGCGATGTTTACAAAGAGAAATTGTATACTTTCTAGCAATCAAAAGCAAATAACTATTCAATTATCTTCATATTGCAAACATACTTAGTTTATGTTGAGAACACACTATTTTCGACAATTTACTTATAATCAGATAAGTAGTACATTTATGTGATTTAATAAATGGTAAACAATAATTGATAATAATCGTTTGGTGTAAAAGAATGTTCAGAAATCTGAGGAAAATGTTATGTAAGGAGTGTAATGTCCCTCTAAGGCACGCTTATTCAACTTTACAGTTTTAAATAATGGAGCTAATGGCATGCCTTACGGTACATTTTTTTCAGCACAAAGTAGAGATAACGACCGTTATATATTTTCAATTACAACGATTATATTTATTTTTGTAAAAACCATTGGAGTTCTTGAGGGCAAATATTGCATATTTTGTTATCTCTTGGTGTCTTTTGGCTGTCATTGTAAACTTTTTCAACATTATTTTTTTAAGTTAAGCAGCAAACAAAAACAAATATTTACAAAAAATACAGAACTCCAAGGTATATAATGAAAGGGGAAGTCAACATAACATGACAAAGTCAAAAGCTCGACTATATCAACCACCGGAACGAATGGAAAAAAATAAAAGATCTGTCTGATTCACATTGAATTGGTCAATTTAAAAACAAATACCGTAACCTTGATTATATTTCAACGTTTAAATAATCAAGAATTTTGGAATTTAACTGTGGAAAGTTACCCAATGAAACTTACTTTTAATAAATCGAATACAGGCAGTAGTTATTGTTCTATTCTAGATTCTGATATTTCAGTTTCACACGGGAAACTGTATACACAAATGTACGACAAAAGAGACGCTTTTTCGTTTCCGATTGTTAATTTGGACGGTGATGTTCCTTTGACCCCTTCTTATGCGTGTTTCGGTGTGTATATTTCACCACTTATTCGCCATGCCTGTGTCTGTAGCTGCAGTTTAGATTTCAATGAACGTAATTAATGTATTACTGATAAATTATTAAGTTAGGGATTTCGTTACCACAAATAAGTTAAAACCTTATTACATTCTTTCATGGATACAAAGATTTGGCTAGGTAATTCGGCCGTACCTGTAAAGTTCTTATCAAAAACGGGATATCACATCCTAATTTTTACGGTGATGATATTTACAAATTCCGTAAATGTAGACACGATCCATGTAAACTAATGAATCCTTTAAATCAACTTATTTTTAAAGGTTATCAATTTAACATAGCAGTGAATCTTTATATATTGTTTTATTGGTAATTACGTTGATTTTGTTTTAAAAAAAAATCAAGCAAAGCTAAATATTCATTTAAATATATTTACAGTTATGAGAACTCATTATCCTACATCCTGTCGATTTTGCCTACTTATATGTCGGCATTGCATATGAGCTTCTCAAACTATTTATGGCGCCTTTACACTAAATCCGTTGGAATCGTACTGATTGATACTTTAGTCGCGGAGGACATGATTTATTTATTAGATGTAATTGGCTTTGAAATAGCTTTCAGTAACTGCGAGTACTCTTATATTGTTGCTTTGTGTCTGTTGTTTTTATGTTAGTTGTTTTGTGTCTTAAACCAATCTTTTGAGTTGAGCCAATTGCTACTGATTTTTATAGTTTTTTTCTTAAGTTGTACTGTTACACCACTGTCCCAGGTTAGGGAGTGTTTTAACCCCGCCACATTCTGTATGTGCCTGACCCAATTCAGGAGCCTGTAGTTCAATGGCTGTCTTTGGTTCATGATGTTATATTTGTTTTTCGTAAATTCTTTGTAATAAATAAGGACGTTGTTTTCCTCGTTTAAGTTGTTGGGGCCTTTTTAAAGACAATACTGTTTGAGTTTTTCTCATCGTTCAAGGCCGTATGCTTGCCTATAATTGCTTACATCCACTTCATGGATAGTTGTCTCATTGGCAATCATACCACATCTCCTTAGTTTTATATTTACCAACATCACTCGTTTATTTTCTTATATCCGATAATTTTCCAACGAATAAATGTTGTCCCTTCTACTATTAACAGAACATATGAATATAAAAAACGATATAAAGTCAGATAGTAAGTATTTTTCTTGTAAACAGTGATTTAAGTGTACGTAAAACAAATAAATGACAACAAAGGAATACACTAACATTATGTTTTTAGAAGTTGTCTATATATTGGATGTTGATTTTTTAGGTCAAGTTGTTATTCTTTCGGCCTCCATAATTGTGGTTTGTGGTCTTGAAAATTTATAGAGATGAATGTCAAAAAATGGCATGATGACAAGTGCTTGTTTACATATGTCAGCTATTTGTATGCATCAATTCTTATAATTAAAGAAAAACTAATAATTATTTATTTTTGAAAAAAAATGTCTCATCACTATATTGCATAAACTTAATTCAATAAAACAAATCTTTTTTATCTGGGTTTGTCTCTTTTTATTGTATAAGCATTCATCTGCCAATTCGATACAAAACAGGATGGAAACTATTTAATGGTCATTGTTACAAACACAATTAATAGAAGATTGCAGAGGATTTCCATTTATAAGTCTTCTTCACACTGAAATAAATGTAGTAATGTTCAAACCAAGCACATGTGTTTGCACATATACCACACTTAGTACTTTTTCTGAAAAAGAAAAACTACTGTTGTTATTGTCAACATCTTACACATATAGAACAAAAATAATCACTATATCTTCAAATATACATTTTTGCACGGACCTGTTAAATATGCGGTATGTCATTTACAAAATGCGTATTTGAAAAAAAATAATCATATATTTACATGACCGTGGAAATTCGTATCCTGCTCAAATCTTATAAGTTGCTTTTATTATATATCAAATGATAGCTCATTTATTTGGTATCAACTACAAGTTTCAGAAAATGTCCATTGAATAAGAATCAAATGTTGTTCGGCAACGTCAATTTGTATGTCAAAATTTAAGTTAATCTTTAAAATATCTCAAGTATATCTTATTGGGAATAAACATGCTATTGCTATATTACAATGTTGAGAATACTCATGTATCGTTCAACTGAATTAGCAAACGCAACCAATAAGAGCAGAGCATATGAAACTACCAACATGAAACTGACATCTTATATTATTATATCCTATATACTAATGTTTGAGTTGTTCATCAGTGTTGATTTGAAGACAGTAAATAGACATGAAACAGAAGTGCAAATACTTTTGTTTCTAAGAGTTTATCAATTTTAATAGAACAATTCGTCAAGCATGAGGGCAGAGAGAGTTGGTTCCAATTGCAAAAACAGATAGCTTTGGAAAAATTCATCATTCAAACCTAATATGTAAATTTTCTTTCAAAACGTCTAGCACTTTGATAATTTATATTCTTATTTTTTGTTTTATCATTTCAAATTATACGGACTTTTCCGGTCTCATCCTACAACAAAAGAATTGTTTAACACGTTTAATGCACACTAAGGACGATGTTGTTTGTTTATTTAGCATCCTCATTGTTTAATAGTTATTGTGTCTAAAATATGGCTAGTTAAATAAACATATAAGTTTTAACTTCGACTCGTTGAATATCAAAATATGCATAGTCTTCTCTATGTCAAATTATGAAAAAAAAAAACATTCACACGAATAAAAACTCAACCAGAATGTTAGAGTGTGTCACACATATTGATGATAGGTCGCTCTGTCCGTTCGAGGTCAAAAACACAGTCTTACATAAACCATATTTTTAAAAACATCAAAATTCAAAATCAAGTATGGCTTTGAACTGTTCATTGCCCCAAAAGACATACATTCGCTTGTTATTCATTTGCAGCGTTGCGGCGTTAAAAATATATTATTTTTTTCTTCAGAGTAAAGGTCAAGATATCAAACTAACACCATCAATTAGCATCACGGGTATCTTCAACCTGTCGTAATAGATATCCCGTCCTGTTTTCTCGATCGTTACACAACCAAATGCGACGTAGTTCCTGAGTTCACCCCCGATTTGTGATTGGGATCGTACTTCATAAGCATTGGTTTTCATTTGTGGACTTGTTTGTATTTTCTTTGTTATTCTTTTTGGTCATTGTATTGTCTGTGCTAATCGGATTTGATTGCTCCTTGGCACTTAACTGATTAACAGTTAATGGAGCAACGACACACTTTTAATTTTATCTAACAAAAACAGAAAAGTCTGCACGACCAACGATGCACCGCTATTGACATTAATGGCAAGCCGAAAAAACATACATTGTTATCACTGAAATATCGAAATTGAGAGTGCACCACTATCGTCAACAATTATCGAATGTTATCTATCTCAGTGTTGACATATTTTGTATTATTAAAGAATCCAATAAAACCATTCAACACATATACAAAAGCAATAGATTATGCGAAATGAAATGAATTAAATTAATTAAGCAAAGTTTTAACCATCAATGTAAGTAGAGACAGGATAACTATACTTACAAAAAGATCCCATTAAATAACAAAATATTATACAATTAAAAGACTTTAGTCCCAAGATATCATTTTCAAGAGAATACTGAGAGACAACAAGTATAACAAAACCTACACAACCTACACCACAATCAACCACATTATACATCTATGAAATATAAAATGAAATTAATCATAAACACCTAGAGGTCCCACAGAGCAAACACTCACAATGGGCAATGCTCTTGGCACTGATTCTAAAATTTCTCCTAACTTAAATCGCAGGTTAGTCTTATGACATCGTTTGAAACGTTTTGAAATACAATATTGAACAAGGTGCGTACGTTCAAATTCTATTTACAATTTTCATGTTTTGAGAAAAATTTAATTTTGGGTTTGATAAGCATAGATTATTTATATATTTTATAACAATGACAGTATACCCGACGATTTGTTTCGAATTTGACTACATTTAATGTTCTTTTTTGTTTGATCAGCTTGTCAACGTTTGCATAAGTTTCGGTTTGATCGGCTTTTTATGTTTCTTTGATACATATGACGTGTCTCTGTACTTTAAACATCCCGCCATTGTGTTATTGTTCTATTATAATTTTTGCATACCAAATTATTTTATATCTCTACCTGTGTGACGTTTACATTCTGACGTCAAACACGCGATTCTACGACAGAGTTAATGTTAAAATTACGATTCGGTCCCAGTGCTTAAAATCCCTCGATTCTTTATGGGTTGATTTGGCATACATAAATAAAATACAAAAATAAGTAAGCAATGAACGAGGTTGTTAAATGTGATATATGCTTTTTTGTGCTTCTTTGTTAAATATTTGTTTATTTTTGTTGTGATTAAGATTGTGACACGGTGTTGACTGCTGTACCCCTATTTTGACATTTTTACCTATTATGTCTGTTTGTTTTATTCACACATCGTTGTCAATATAATGGAATTTGATGCGACTGTCATACAAGTGAGAGGATTAACGCTATAAAACCAGGTTCAATCCACCATTTTCTACATAAGAAAATGCCTGTACCAAGTCAGGAATATGTCAGTTGTTGTCCATTCGTTTGATGTGTTTGTGCTTTTGATTTTGCCATTTGATTAGGGACTTTCCGTTTTGAATTTTCCACGGAGTTCAGTATTTTTGTGATTTAACTTTTTTCTTGTCAACGTTTGCATAAGTTTCGGTTCTTAAAATATTTTGGCTTCGAGCATGGATCACTGAAGACATTTATTGTCCAATTGGGAATATGATGGAGTAAAATTGGTACTTTTAATGTTATTTCACGACAAAATAATATCTAAAGGAACTTACCTGGTGATAAGCAAACCCTCCCGTTGTATAATGCACAATATAAAACGGAAGAATATGATGAGAGTTAAATATAACAAGCTCTTTCTTATCTGGTGACATATGGGAGTCATGGCCTTGCTTAAGTGAAGCTCCCTGAATCATGGTAGGACATACAAAGACATTACCAGGTAAGACCTGGCAGAGAAGAAGCTGAGTGGCCCCTGAAATGTAACCCATCGAGTAACCAGGATATTCACTGAAGTAGACACCTCTGCCATAGTACCCGGTATCAGTCCTGTGCGCAAATCCTTGCTGGCCTAGAAAATTAAAAAAAAATGTGATAAAGTTTTATTTTTCAAATGAAACGGTGAAACGAGTATTTCACATCGGGTGTTATAAAATGCTGTTGTTTGATCTATATGCAAATTGTTGCAGATGCTAGTTTGTGCAAAGTATGTTATCAAATCTGGGTCATATACGTAGAAGAAAAAGGTTTACCTGGGACTTTGAAATTGTTTTCAACAATAGACTTTATGTTTGCCTCTTGTGTACCATGAAACGCTAATATTGGATAAGACATCTTGCTTCCTCTGTGCTTTTTCATGTCGTCTATTGCTTTGCTAAAAACATTAAAGTGATAAATATAATTCTCTAATTCTGTGGCAATTTAACCCTATCCGGACCGATAGTATAAAAAAAATTAATCAACGTGTGGTTGCCGATGATCTCAGAAGATGATTGGATGAGTTTAAGGGTCATAACCTTTATCAGCTCACAGGATGAATCAAAATATGCTAACAGGTGTTAATGAAATTGACAACTTTGTGGAATGTGGAAGGCACTCAAAGGGGATTTTCGTTTATCAAAAATGAAAATTTATTTAATTATCATTAGACAAACAGATGCTTACATAATTAAAAACCAATTGTTCAGAGAACAATTGAAGGTCTTTCCACATCAATGTTCTAAATTATTGATGAGAAGCTACATCCAGTTTACTCAAAATTACTATTGGCGTCCAAGCTTTGGTTTCTTCATACTGATTCAATTAATATATGGTTTCTATATACTTTTGCCTGAAATAAGGGAGATAATTGCCAACTTCCGGTTTAGAAAATGTCACTTCCGGTCTCATATGATAGCTTTATTTATACTGATTCCAAAAATATATGGTTTATATATACTTTTGCATGTAAAAAGGGAGATAATTAGCTACTTCCGGTTTAGTAAATGTCACTTCTGGTCTCATATGACAGCTTTATTTACACTGATTCCAAAAATATAAAGTTTGTATATACTTATGCCTGTAATAAGGAAGATAATATGCTACTTCCGGTTTATAAAATGTTACTTCCGGTCTCAAAAGATAGGTTAACCTATGGTCATTCAAAAAATATATGGTTTCTAGGTACTTTTCCATGAAATAAGTGCAAAAAATACTACTTCCGGTTCACTCAAGGTCACTTCCGGTTGACATTTTTCAAGGTCATAGGTCAACCAACAGTTTGCAAAAGACCCTATGGCTTTATCATGTAACAAGTTGGAGTAATAATCAATTAATCTTAAATTGAATCATTTCAGGGACAATAACTCCTATAAGATGTCATTGGATTGTTTCAGACCAAATGTATCATATCTTAATCACAATTAGGCAAACATTTTGCACTTGTTCTTTAATTTGTATCTTTAAAAGTGACAGAGGAGAATAAATAACAAGGAAAAGTCAAAATTTAGAATATGACCTTGACCTTTGACCTTGGCCTCAATTTCATTTAAATGAACCAAGGAACTCAAGTCAATATACCTTAGGTCTCTATCACTTACCATTCATGCTATATATTTATATATCCCTTATGTCAAATACAGAAGGGGAAATAACTCTCATATGGAGTTTACGTACCGCCACGGTCAAAATTGGACAAAACATCCTGAGGATATAACGAGCAATTTGGTAAAATAAATTTGTCGCTTTCTTTTACGGTTACGGAGGAGATGCAGTAACCAGGAAAACAGTGTTCGGGGAGATAACTCTTACAAAAAAAATTGTTCGGCTTAGAATGGGTGAAAATAAAAAGCGCATAAACTGTATGATATTATATAAGAAATATCTAAGCGACATCTTGCGAAACAAAAATTTTACTTGAGAACAAAATTAGGCGGAAGAAAAAAAAAAAAAATAATAATAATAATAATAATAATAATAATCAGAACAAAAACAATAGGTCTTTCCACAGAAAAGTGGAAAGACCTAATTACTCGTGAATTATCGGATTTTTATCCAATCTCGTTAGTTAAATTATCAATTTTAGAGTCCTCGCCGAGGCTCGGACTTTAAAATTTGATAATTTAACTATATCGATTGGATAAATCCAATAATCCACTGGTACCAATGTAAGATCTATATATATCCCTACTTCTCAGTGACACAATCTCCATCGTCAAAACATTTTTTAGTAAGCCTATGTGGATTTAAATCAAAAAGGCATGTTTCAAATTTGATAAAACTATTGTCCGTAAATTATGTGGTTGATATTACATTTTGCATAAACTTATCAGATTTCACTTATCGAAAACTCGTATATTGCAGTGATCTGGAAGGATTTTTTCTCTATGGGCCCAGGGCCCCCCAAAAATAAATTTTTTAGAATTAATGGGCCATGTTGTCAAATGAGTGGGCCATTCGTTAACAATAAAAAAAATAAAAAAAGTGTATATTTCACTGTACTTACAAGTATGATTCTAATTAATATCATGGAAATTGTACCTGTGATTTTGTTATTTCAATTTCAATGAATATACAATAACTTCTTCCAAACCGGGCAATATTTACGATAACCTTTATTTACAATGTTAAAACTGGGACTGTTCCCTTGTTCATGTTCATGTTTTTTTTACATTAAATTTGGTCTTCGTCGATACCATACTTATTCAAGACGTTCCGTATTAGAGGACGTTTCTGGCATTTCCTCTGCACTTGTATTATTATTACTTCATCACGATGACAAGAATAACAGTAGAGAGCAACGTTAATTGATAAGACACAACAACAATTCGCTGAAGGCATGTTTAATGTCAAAACGAGCCAAAGACCAAAAAAACTGACAAGGACGGTTAAGCCCCTTTTATGGAGACAAATTCTATGCTATTCATAAAAAGGCTTTTGGATTTTTCAATCGAAATAATAGCGAGCCTACTTAAAAGATTATAATTAGAGAAGAATTATCGACTGTACTAGCCAATTTTCACAAATTTAAAGTTGTTTATAAAAAATTATATCATGAATGATGGTTAATTACGTTTTTTGGGTAATCAGTCATACCGCATGTTGCTATTATTACCATAGGAAAACACCCGAGACGTCCCAAAAATATATAGGTGCTCATATCATTGTGTACTCACACATGGCGGCACGAAATACGATCGGAAATCCATTTGACGATATCTCAACGTTTCAAAACGAAGTGAAAAATATCATGCACCACGCGGGAGCTTACATTTGTCACTCTATGCGCCATTTCTGGTCGATAAGCGCAATTGGCGCAAGGCGCACGTCCTTCCCGATCACTGATATTGTAATAAGCTTACTAACTTGTATGGTAATTGCCATAAACATAAAGCAAATCACTGCAATTCCTTAACAATTTTACAGATATTGTGAGAAAAAACCTGTTACAATCATATATCGTCTATGTGTCTAAAATAACGACAGTACATTTTGTTTGTAAAATGTAGATTTTACAGATACTGCACATACCATTTGTATAAATATCAGAAGATAAAATAAAACTTTTTTACAAATACATCTTATTTCCGTTATGTATATAATGCTCATATTGACAGAGAATTCTGTTTCACCGTATCATCATTTACGTCGTAAAGTGTCTCTACGGGCTAGGTCTGCACACACATCAAAATCAGTATGTAGTTTTTCCTGCATATATTGTTTGTTAATAATCAAATCAACACACAATTAAATTTCTCTTACCCTTAGTAGTTGTACCAGGTTGCCAATGAAACCACGTACTGTGACTCTTGGCCGATTCATGAACTAGCTAAATCGTGGCAATCTTTCACAAATAAACGTATTCATTAAAAGGATAATCTGTTATCCATTCCTAGTGTCTTCAATTGACTCTACATAACATGTTAAACGATTAAATTTTAAATTAATCGTAATCATTAGACATTTTATTTTTTTCTTAATATGAACGTTAATCATCAAAACAGACATTTTTTAAATATACTCACTGAAAATGTTTCACTAAAGGTGGGTTTACCACATACTGTACTTTATTTACTGTGAAGCTGAAATTTACCAAAGATTCAAAATTTTTCATCTATTCTTTTATGAAACTATTTCCTCATTATTTTATTTTTTATTCGTGTTATATAGTTTGCTAGTGTCGTTTCTCACCAAGGAAACAATTTAAACAGAGTCGGATAATAGTTGTGATTTACCAGTTAAATTTTTGAATCAAAATAATGACAATAAAAATCCTTGGTTATAGCATAGATGTATAAACCCATAGATAAAGCTCGTCAAAAGTTCCCTACTGTTCTCTATTGTTAGATAAAAAGAACTATGACCAAATCGACTGCCTTTGATGTTTCATGTGTGTTGTCCTCAATCAAGTAACTCTAGCTACATCTCTTATCTGTTGATCTGTATTGACCAATACAGCAGAATAGATTTTCTTAATTATCTTCTCGAGTTATGTCCCTTCTGTTGTTAGAATATGTCTATTTTTAGCGCACTGGACAGACAAATAAAATGGTGAAAAAATGGATGAAATCGGTCAGAAATTGCGCATTTTACAAGGGAAATATTGAACTAAATTAAAAAAAATAATTTTAAGGCTTGTATCTTTATATTTTATAAAAACTATGTTCCTGTTAGTTCCTGAAAATGGGAATAGCACGTTGTTGAACTTCTAAAATACACCTTCTCTTTGATATGCTTCATTAAGGTGTCGAACTGCGTCGAATTTGGGAAAAAATTAATAAGAAAGTACATTCTTTTCTTTATTTCATCAGTTTTTCTACATTTTTAGAAGAGAAATTGTCTTTTTAAATCATTTTTATATTTATACGAATAAGTTAGTTACTTAATCATAGATGTATTTTATACATATTTTATACATCTATGGCTAGACTTGCTACATGTCCCTTCCTTATTCTTTTTTTTTAATTTTGCCCCTTTAACAATTTTACTGCTATAACTAGGAGATTACCATTATACTGACATCTGCAGAGGACAATCAGTATACTGGAAGTTAACAGTAAACATATAAATTAGTAAGAAAGAAATAAAAGAAAGGGAATTGTAGCAAGTCTAATCTATGGTTAAATTATAATAATTTCATTCATGATGTTTATTAAATAAGTTTATGTAAAGAGTTTTAGTGTACAACCAAAACATTCCATGTAAAGCATGCTAAATAAATATTATGGAGCATATATTCAACTTTTTCCATGTTTTCTATTAATTATATTTTCAATGGACTTGTTTATAATAGTTAACATACATTGTTTAAATAAGGTTAAATTGTGATAAATTATATAAAATCTAAAAAGGAAAATATGTAAATATGAGGAAAACTTTAGTTCTGGCTAAAAAAAAAATATCCGCATTTATTAATTTCTTTTCGAGAATAATTTGTAATATTGTTTTACCTACAGGAACATTATTTTTTCATAACCAAGTCATTCTAAAATATATATTTTGATTTTATTTCTTTCTGATTTTTAGCATGTTTAACTGCTAAGTAGCTTTTGATTGTCAGTTTTCTATTGTCTAGATTGTCAATCGGCATCTCAATGACCAACTGGTTCATGTCATTATCAGATAAGTGTGAACGCCATTATTACGCACATAGAACCTTTGAAGTCAGTGTTGAGCTTCATCTATGGGTTTATACATCTATGGTTATAGTTAACATTTTCGATGGAATCAGGTTGGCAATTGAAGACTCATAAAAAATCAAAGGCATAAACATCACTCGCAAATGCTGCTTCGAGATCATATAGGTAGCTTTAATGGTTCATCAACGAATATAAGTATTGCATAATGTTTGCCAAATGGTCACCTCATTCACACTCTTTATTGTATGGTAATCAAAGATAAGAATTTAATTTGAATTTAGCTAAACGTCTGAAAGAAAACATGCAGTATCATCACAAAAATATACAACACCATTGTTATTAGATATAAAAAAAGTAGATAGAAATTGTAGTTATAATTCGTTTAAATTCTCTATATTTTGATCACAACTAAATCAGATAGCAATATAACACATGTTAGATCCGAGGGACGTTATTGTATTACAATTATTTGAAATTCGAATAAACCATTTTTTTTTTCCATTTGCCATAATTATAAAATTACCTGTTTCCACTTCCACTTATTAATCTATAAAACTGTGACTCTGCAAGTCTAAAGTGAGTTTGTGCAGCTGATCCTTCTTTATACGCTCTTTCGGGATATAGGTCAAAGTAAACAACTTTGTTTCCATCCAGTGCTTCTTTTTCTCCTTTCATTAATAACTGTCTGTTTGAAACCTAAAATGGTATTCCACAAACGAAGTACTATTAGAAGAAAGAATTTTCATTTTTTCCTTAGTTAAATAATATAAGTTTGAATTAAGTTTTGTATTTTAATTATTTTGGTCTCGGCCATCAAGGAAGAGACATTGATTGTCAAAATATGCATCTGGTGCAGTATTTTTTTTACCGTTGTGGTCATTGACAGTTGTATGATGATATAAGAAAATGCCACATTACACCATCTATGTATTTTATATACAAATTCTAAGATCGTTCTTTATTTTTGTAATTATCTAAAAAGTCATGTTCAGTCTTTCAGTCAATTTTCAGACTTATCCACTTCATTATTCATTATTGTTTAGAAAATTCAGTATGATGTTTTTGGGTACGGGTAAATAGCAACAACTACTGCACAGTCTGAACATCAGCATGATAGACTCAACAGATCTTAATACACTGCTAGCGAATTATCTGAACGGAATAGATGTGCTCAACATAGTCGCCAAAATTTCCACTATTCAGTAAAGCTGAATATAAGTTAAATGATATATTAAATTCACTGTATCCAATGCCTTACATAGGACTGGCATCGTCATCATGCGGGGAAGGCAAATTATGTCGATTCGAACAAGATAGTCGGTAAAAATTGTCGAATATCTAATTACTTAAGCCGTTTTAGTGAATAAGAGTATTGCACAGAATGCACTGATAAAAAATGTAATCACAGGACCAAGTTAACATACAATTTACGTCGGCCTTTCCTTCAAATTTGTAACTTTCACTCGATTTCTGCATTTTTGAGCTATAATGTCAGATCATATTGTGTAACATAGGTTGTCCAACTGTTCACTAACAGTTAGCACAATGGAACAAAACTGATTTGCCATCTTAAATTATATGGTTTTATAGTTTTCTAAAAAAAAATCATGTATGACAAGGGAACTGTACCTCTTAATTATGTGTGTTTTTGTTACAATCATGTCCAAAACCGTAGCAAAATTACAGTCTATTAAAATAAAAGATGTCACGAAAATGAAGATCAAAAATATGTTATACGCTGAAAAATAATGTTCCTAGTTCTATTCAATGTCTACATAAAATATTATGACATCTTCTATGCACACTTTTCATTTTACAGTATAACCAAAATAATGACAACGAATGTACTCTGTCCTGAATCAATATTTGTTCCTTTTGTCACATTTACCATATTTAGCACATTTTTTGCGAGATTCATTACTAGTAATCCTCTTGGACTTTGTGTTTGATCTGGCCTTCCAACCTTTTTTATTCGAGTGCCACTGTTAAGTTTTATTAAGACGAAAAGCATGAAAGGCGTAACAAAGTATAAGCCTGGTATCTTTAATGAGTTTTTGTTGTTACGTCTTTCATTAATTGTGTAATTACTGCTTGTTATTTTTGTTTTAATGCATGGTATAACGGTGAATAAAACGATTAATCATTACATGTATTTCGGGCGAGTTTGTTCTATTCAAGTTAGATAGTTACATTTCTATTATTTTTGCAGTTATTTTTCAGATACTAAGAAATATAAAGAAAAAAGTGCTTGCCTTCTTTTGCAGTTGATTTAGCTCTTCGTCTTTTTTCTTCATTTCATCTTTAGTTTCTTTTAGTTCTTCTTCAAAGTGCTGTTTAGCTTCAATTGCTGATTTAAGAACTTCTCGTTTCTCTTCATCGCTCATTCTGCTAAACACAACTGATGACACCCCTCCCTTTAAAATTCTGTCTGTATTCTTAACAGTTGAAATTTCTGCAATTACAAATAGCAGTACGTGTTAACTCGGTCCAAATGTCATACATTATAGTACTGGCTTTAATAGTACCTATTATACTTTTAAACATATTTCATTTTTCAATGTACCATTATACTTCTCTTTAACCATATATTTTCTAAAAAAAACTTAAAAGCTAAGTAGTTCGAAGATCACATAATTTAAATTATACATTCTAAAGTGCTTTAACTTGAAAAAAATGTATTAACAAAACAACCAACTCTTTTGTAAATTCAAAAAAGGGGGGAGGAGTCCATAACACCTAACAAACCAAAAACTCGACTGTATCAACCAAGAATCATCAGCGACTGGAAAAAACTGTCATATTTTGATTTTGATGGGCTATACCTAAAGCTAGCTAAACCTCCACTTGTATGGCAGTTGTGTGTTTATAATTCCTTTATATTGACTATTGAGAAGATTGTATGAGCAACCCAATCAAACATAAATGACAGTTTAAAAACTACGTTATAGCGCTAAAACTTATGTATCAAAAACCAAATTCGTATTCGTTCCGTTTAATACTATGTAGCAATCCGCAAAACATGCAACAGAGACGGATATTATATTTCGTTGTCTGACAATCAATATGTAGTATTGATTTTAAAGGGTAAATTTTAGAGTATGTGTGGAACGGTTGTGACTCTGGTTTCCAAGCTGAACAATCGCGATGATTTAATGCAATAAAAGGAAGTTTTGATTTGAAGATATAAAATTCACTACTCATAGCATGCACTCAATCCTCTCAGCTGGTAGAACGATACCGTACGGTGTAAGTGCTTTTTATGTTACATTCTTGAATGATCATATTGGTAATGCAGTAAATCTAAGTGAATGTTTGAACGAAGTTTTATATTTTGTAAGCCTTGTTTTTTTCATCATTTTAAAATACTTACTTTTTCTGTGATTCTCTTCTGTTTCGAACGCCTGCAATAAAGTTATTCTATTAACAATACTTCAGTTTATATTACATGGATATGGGTGTACATTCTGTTATATATTATTATGGTTCGACTTCTCTCAGTTGACCCAAGATGAATTTTACTATTCTTTTTAGACCCATTTTTGTCAAACGCATACGTTTCTACGCATTTTAAGATCCTTGGCTTGGAAAAGTTTGAGCGTTTCGTACAAAAGAATTTTTTTTTAATGTTGTTTTCATTTACTTGACTTGTATAAGTAGATCACATATATCTAAATAACTATAGGAATAATGGAATCATTATGAAAATATTATAATTTCGTGTTACCTTCAGCACTTTAATATATAAGTGACATCCAACAATACATCATTTTTTTTTATTTTTAAACTTTTTATGCCTATTGTATACATATTATATTATATATATTAACAGTTAACAAACCTTAACAGTTTCGTGATCTTTATCATACACTACAAACAAAACTTCTGCAATCGCCGAGTTTGGATTTTGCAAGGTGAACTCTTCTACACACTTGTACATAGATTTGGCAACTTGATCAGCAGGATATCTAAGTTTACCTGTTCCCAATGCTGGGAAGGCAATAGAACTACATTTCTTTTTAGCAGCAGTAGAAAAACATTCCATTACAAACTTCTCTAGCTCCTGCAATTTGAATATAACCACATATGGAAAAACCTTTTCTTCTAGTGCTTGATGAGTTATAAGTATTTCGTTTTGAAAAAAAGCAATTAGAGTCATGTGTATACCTTATTCTAAATCAGCTGTTGTAGACGTCTGGACTAATAAGTACTGTTTGCTGTTGCAATGTATGTTTGTTATAAGTGAAATCCGATACTTGTATTCAAGTACATAAATTTTTAAAGCTATACTTTTTAACGTCTAGCACATTTGACTTTTGTTTCCGAATTTACCAGAAAAACGTTGTGCACATAATAAGTAATAATATTCTTTACACATCTTTATTTTTTTAATTGTGGAAACGTGTTGTTGTCATGATCATGATGATGTGAAACAAAGATGACATGCATAGCCCAAATTTAGTGAAAGTTGTATGATGATGAAATTGTATTAAAATAACTATGAAAACTGACACAAATTATTACTGACATAGCTTTAAATGAGAATGCAATATATTGATCAAATGCTATTGACATTAGACTTCAAAGTCTGATATACGTTAAGTAGCAGTTTAATTGACTTTTGCCTGCTTTGTCTGTTTGTTTTGCTCACGCATTGTTGTCAATATAATGGAATACTATGCGACTGTCATGCAGGTGAAAGGTTTGGCTGGCTATGGGACCAGGTTTGATCCACCATTTTCGACCAATTCAGGAATATGACAGTTGTTTTCCATTCGTTTGATGTGTTTGAGCTTTTGATTTTGCCATTTGATAAAGGACTTTCTGTTTTGGGTTTTCCTTGGAATTTCGGTATATTTTGCTATTTTATTTTTTACTTGTTACATGGTATCTAATTAATAAAGTATGAAAAAAACATATCATACGTTACTTATGACATGTTATAACTAATCATAATCAGTTATCCTATAAAGTCAGCTTGAAAAAGTCACTTACTTTGATTTCCGAACCTTCCTTACGCCACTGATTCAAGCTTCCATGACAAACAATTTTACACTGTAAATTACCACCAGATGTCACTGCAACATCTCCATAATTTATACCATTCGGATAGTTCTGTGAGCACTCTTGTTGTAAGGATGGACCACCATTTTTCAACAATGAGGCGGACACTGCGCCATGATCCAGCTTTAGTTCTTTTGACGTTGTATTTACAATTGCTCCAACCTTAATAGTCGTATTTGTTATAAAATCGAAATATTAGGTCCAGTAGCAAGGGTTTTGGAAATTATATCATCGCATTGCATTGCGTTGGAGGTATAATATAAACGAAAAGTTATCGTACTTTTAAATAGTAGTTGGAACTCGCACAATAAATGTTGCCCAAGATGATTCTTGATAATCCGTGCATACTATCACTGTTATGATCTTCTTCAAACGTTAGGGATGTCACAATATTTGTTTTGAACTGTGTGACATACCCTTACATAATTTCAATTTACCATTTTTTTTTTCAAACATACACATTTCTTTTTAAGGTCACGAACAATTTCTTATGAAGATCCACGCAGATTGCTACGACAAATGCGTAAAATAAATCGAAGATGATGATGGACATTTTTAAAACGAACAACAATTTTTTCATGTTTCGTGGACCGATATTGAAAAAATATTAGTCTTTATCCAAATGATTACTTATTGAATTGATTAGTATTCGTATGAAAGCATATTGCCAAGCTCTATTAAATTATCATCCAGCAAGTGCTTAATCTTCTATATCCAATTAAGCTTGGCATTTAGGTTACTACTAAAACATGAAGGCTTGCTTCAGATCTCGATCTTATTTTTTCAAATTGACCAGATATGACGACTTGAAACTAAGGTTTCTGGCCAATGTATCGATTTCAATTTTCCTATTGTCAACTTCCCATTGCTGAATATATACAAAATGTCTGTCCCATCGTTAGACATCGCTATTAACATATTGAGGGCGTGCATGTTCAGCTCATACGGAAATAATAAAATGTAATATCATGTTAAAAACACTTCTAAATAAAGGTAATTTGGAAGATCGACATCAATACGTTATCTTTCTTAAATTTGTTGACCGATACGATACTTCAGTGTCTCAACTCATGACAGACATGTCTTAGAGGTCTTTAATATTATACAGCAAAAGACTAGTCTGATTATTATTTTCAAAAAATTGACAATGGAATCACATGGTGAATGATGTTTGTATAGCAGGTGATACTTGCATAGTCAATGAAGGAGGTTAGCTACGTTTGAAGTGTTGCTGATCAAGATTTGTATATTCAAAAAGGGTGTATGAAATTTGAACTGTTTTCATTCATGTTTTTTTTTGGGCTCTCAGTCAATAAATGTGTTTGCTTTTGCATTCGTTGTAACTTCAGAAATTGTTAACATTTAAACAATTTGCACCATGTTTACTAAATTTGGTATTGAACGTTTATAATGTATAGAGTGTACTGATCTTTTTTATGACAAAACTAAAATATAATACTTCGTTCTCAAATATATACAAATAAGCCGAAATTAAATTATACGTTGCATCTTTACCTTCATTCTTGCTAGCTGTCCTTTAACTATCTTAATCGCAATATTTCCAGCCAATACATGGTGTTGATCACTTACAGCAGTTAAACCTGTAGGCAATATTATAATTAGCTTAAAAATGATGTTTCTTTATTTCAAACAGAGGGTGACTAAGGTCGATTTTTTAACGTATTCCAACCCTTTTGCATCTTAAAAATTGCAGTTTTAAATACAGTATTAAGAAAATGGAATGTTTATAGAATCATAAGTCGTCTATTAAAGTTTGCAAAATGCTTTTACACTAAGTCTTATCGTTTTTGCAAAGTTATCGAATGACCGCGAGTACCCACAAGAATCAAAAACTTTATAAATATATAGTAAACTATTGCATTGCACTTATCGTACATTAAAATAAGCTTCTCTTATTCAAAGATAAGTTTCATAGTTATTTGTCATCTAAGTATCTTACTTAAGGATGTTCCCTTCTCTTGTTTTTGACTTTTTGTGAGATATTCGAATCCTCTACTTTTATCAATGTAATGCCATTAAAAAAAATTCCCGCTAAGCCCTACTTTTTATTTCATTATTCTATCACATATAGTTTCAAAATCCATTTTTGAAAATCTTTTGAAATCCTTATTATTTTTTCATAGCTTTTGAAAGAAAAAAGGTGAATTTTAAATGTATGAAAAATGTAGAGAGAATCGTTTCCCGTCAAATTGTTTATTGCTTATTACTCAAAAACAAGGACACAGACCTTTCATTTTTTTCTGCCTTTTAAGTTCCGTTAATTATATACTTACATTTTATAACAGTCTTTTAAAAGCTTGTTATTGTGAAACAGAACAGCGAACATCTTTAAACATTTGGTCACTAGCGTATATGTTGAAGGTATTACAGAAACACGTGACAGGTAAAGTAAAGTAAGTATTATTTCAATTATTTTGTGTATGATCAAGTCTATCTTACAAACAGCTGCGCCACGAACGCATGATACGCCCGTCGTCTTGTGTGTGAGGTTTTATGCAATAATCATAAATCGTTTCTGAGATAAGGCGCGACATGTGATAACCCCCCTTTTTTATAAAAAAATCAATAACTCTAAAATGAAATTTTGAATCATCACCAAAAAGTATACAGATCTTTAGATTAATAGAATTAAGAAGTGTGTAAAGTTTTAAGCAATAATCATAAATCGTTTTTGAGATACGGGGCGACATGTGACCCCCCCCCCCCTTTTTTTACACAAAACTCAATAACTCTAAAATAAAATTTTGAATCATCACCAAAAAGTATACAGTTCTTAAGATTAATATAACTAAGAAGTGTGTAAAGTTTTCAGCAATAATCATAAATCGTTTTTGAGATACGGCGCGACATGTGAAAAACCCCCCCCCCCCCCCTGTTTTAGTTACAAAGTCCCATAACTCAAAAAGGTTTAATCTTATTTTCATCAAAAAGTAAACAGATCGTTTGACCATCATAAGAAACAATTATGTTAAGTTTCATGAAATTTGGATAAGTCGTTCTCAAGTTGCGGTGCGACATGTGGACGCCGGACAGACGGACAGACGGACAGACAGACAGACAGACATACAGACGGACGCCGGACATTTGTATACCATAATACGTCGCGTCAAAATTTTGACGGGCGCATAAAAATCAATTATATCAATTTGATAATTTGATAATATTTTGTCTTAAAAGTCTGCATTACTGAATTTGTAAATGAACCTTCAATTCACCTTGAGAAGTTGTCTTTGCTAAATGCATATTTGCTGCTTTCTGGAAGAGCTTGACAGTGTCATAAACAACGTCACATAAACATACTGTCTGTATGCAGCTAGATGGATGTACTCTGAAATAATCTTTTACAATTTCAACTATTACATTGGTTGCTGATTCCGGAGGATAGCGAAATATTCCGGTACAGAGTGCTGGGATGGCTATACTGGCAAATTTGTTCTTCTCAGTCACTGCTAGGCATGTTTCGATAGAATGGACTAAATACTTTTCTTCATTATGTTTGCCGCCTTTCCAGGTCGGCCCAACAGCATGTACAATCATTTTACAGCTCAAATCCCCAGACTCCGAACAAAACACCTTTCCATCAGAAAGTGGGCCACATTTTTTAATGTACTGATCACATTCATTTTCAATACTCTTCCCTCCTTCAAAAGAAACGATGAAAGTTTAACCGCGTTGCTGTCATAAAAAGCTTGGAACAGAGACAAAACAATTGCAAAGAAAAAATACAATTCATCAAACAATATTTCACAAAACAGCATTCGGACAACTTAAAAACAAGAACGGAATCAAACTGGTCATGATTCGTAGGAAGACGAAAATATAAAGAAAGAGAAGATCATATACATAACATGTTAATATTTAATTTATATTGGATCAGTAAAACGGTAAACAAAAGTTAAAATCAGCGATTCTCACTATCTTGCTATCTATAAATGTCAACTCAGACTTAAACCCGGACACTAAATTTTGAAGAAAATAAGAATACAATATTTCTTCCAAAAAACAGAACAGATTTTTTCTTTTATTTTCATAATACATGTAATATTAAAACATGATTATAATTAAACTAGAAACGAAATGAAAATGATAACTTACCTTTGTTTACAATGACTCTAGCCAATCCACCTTTATGCTGTAGATCTCTATTTGCCGCGTTAACTATGACGTCAACATCAAGTTGTGTAATGTCACCTTTTATTATTCTGACCTTCTTATTTCCATCAGTAGTGAAGCTAGCTATTTCTGAAGCATTTCCTAGAATCATATCTTCGCTATCATGTCTTGTGATGTCATCAAATTCATCATCACTACTTTCATTACCGTCTTCGCCAATTTGTTTCAATTTGGTCTTCCCCATAACTTTTTTCACAACTTTTTGAAACTTTGAATTTGAAGCTACAGAATTAATGCACTTTAGCAAGTACTCTACTTCTTTAATAGCGTCTTCAAAAGCCTGGCCCTTTCCCTTTACAAAAATACTATCATGTCTAATGATAAAGACCATATTTTGTTGTTTCAATTTATTTTCTAGTTTTTCCATTTCTTCTTTCATCAATTCCTGTAGAAGTTTCATGTCATCAGGAGTGAGCTGATACGTCTTTTCTTGTATTCCATTAATAAATATAAAATCGGAGAGTTTCTTGTGAACCAAATGGCCATCGGATTTCGATAAACAGTATATAGCAACTTCGTTTTGCTGATTTTTTGTTATTTCTAACATGGCAGTGTTTCCATATTCATCTTCTAAATCCTCAATATATCTTACAAATTCGCGTGAATGAAGAACAGGTATGTGCCAGTTTTCTATATCTAATGAGATTTCAATTATAGATTCCTTGAGAATTTCAGCGCATGTCTCTGCTTCGTTGATTGTCATAGAGTGCACATATATAGTATCATCTTGCAGATCCAATACCCCAACATTACCGCTTGTTTGGAATTTACTATAAATCTTCTTTTCAATATCAGGTCGATTTAAATATTGAATGAAATGTTTTGACCTCTCGCCAAAACACACAGAAACGATTTTATTTAATGTTTCAAAAATGTTAACTTTTGCAGCAGTTATGTCAGCTTCCGTTCCGCAAAATGTTACGACATTGCCTTTTGTATCTACTTGTACGTTAATGCCTCCATATTTACTTTTCAATTTATCAGCAAAATGTGTATATTCTAATAGGATCAATTGATGGTGTTTGAAGGAAATCATATCACGTGATTCTTGTGGTTTTCGTGTGATATCTTTCGTGATATCTTCCATCATTTCCTTTATAATTGCTGACAGTGTTTGTACAGGTGTTCTGAGGCCAACAATAAATATATCACACGATGTTGCCTTTTCAACAATAACACTAACTTCATCTTGATTATCTATATTGAGTTCTTTTATTCTAGACATTAGTAACGTGTGCAAATTCTCGGCAACTGAGTGTCTGTCTACTTGCAATGACTGTAAATATGCGTCTATACGTTCCTGAACATCACTGTTCCATGTTTGTGCCAGTTTGTGATGCTTTTGTTTATCATTTGATAGGGTACATTTTACTTGTACGTTCTTATCGTCAGATGACGATGGCCATGTGATTTCGGCATTAATCGCTTGTAACTGTTCGCGAAGCTGCGACTGCGATAGTGTTGAATGAAGTAAGAATTTTAACTTCTTGTTATCGATATTTGTAATGCAAACAGGTCGTGGCACCTGAAATGCTGGTTTGTCATCATTAACAGGGGATCCAAGGCAGTCGTAGAAAACCTGTACTGTTAAATTACAGTTGTCTATTATGTGTGATTTTTCGCATGCCACTGATGCACCTAAAATATTAGAAGCGGAAGTGAATTAGAAATTGGGTTATTGTGTAAACAAAATTATTTTCTTTGTTTTCTAACAGAAACTGTTTTTCTAAATATATTTTTTTTTTCGATAATTTTTTTTTTTTTTTCAATATAGTATAAACTAGTACACAGCAACATGTTTCATACAAAACGCAATCAAAATATATATCATATTTCACTAATGCAAAAAACGATTTAAACTAGTGACGCCATCAGTGACAAACATATGTTTAAAACAGTTTTTCAAGATTTTTTATACAATGACAGGGTTATTGCATGAATTATATGAATCATATAATATATATCTGTAAACATATCTACTCTGGACAATTTTTCCCAATTTACATGCAATAAACCTACATTTAGTCTGCACGGCTGGTAATCTACAAAAGCTGAACAATCGGTTCTGCAATGAAAACCGTTAGAGAGTTTTCCGGTTATGCTTGAGTGGAGTCATTGTAGCCGCTTCGCAAGGTATGTGCATTTCTAAAATCGCAACTTCTAATTCAACTTATCAAACATTGCAAATCGAGGAGTGTTATGCTGTGGTGAATGCTTTCATGAAGATACACATGTATCGTTTACTTTTGTGCATGGAGTTAAACTCCTGCAAAATCAATCGTCCCACGAGAAATTGCCAAAAAAAAGTGACATTAAACTTTTGAGATGTTTCTATTAACAGACCTGCAAGTTCAAATTTCGTTTTTTTTCTGTCCACGGGACTGAATGTCGTTTTGGACGGTTTACACGCTGTCAGAAGTTGATAGACGTCTTAATAAATCTAAAAGCTGTCACTGTTCATTAATTCATGCGTGGGGGATCGGTTCTGATTGATGACATCGTGAATGCTTGAGGGGAAGTGCAAATTAACCTATCTTATCGAAAGTTAATGAATATCACAATCTAGTAATGATAATATATGATAAATTAATAACTTTACCCAAACTTGGGTTTATCATTGATCAATGCTGAATGAATGCGACTTAAATTTCATTAACAAAAATTGCAACAATCACTTCAAATAAAGGCAAGTAACTTGCATAGTTTTAGTGAAGTTCATACTAAATATAAATTGACAATGGAAATGGCTACATCGTAAATATAAGTGGTTTAGATTTATGATTGACTATGCTTTTTCCCGCGTGTATGTAAGACTTTAAACTATGTTTCAGATGGATAGAACACGCCATCATTGTTTGCAGTGTGATCAATCATGAAAAAAAATATTCTCAACGTCAATAGCTGAACTTCCATGTACAATGACTCCACTCAAGCATAACCGGAAAACCCTCTCACGCTTTTTCATTGCAGAACCAATTGTTCTGCTTGTGTAAATTACCAGCCGTGGTCTGTTAAAAGTTTGATACATAAGAATGAAATATTCCAAATGAAGAAAAAACATGTCAGCATCTTCAAATATAAGCCAAACTAAAACTGTTTGTGATGTCATATGTCAGTCATAGCTTCACATCTTATAAATCTTGTGACATATAAATGATTTTAAAAAAAGATATAAATGCAATTGTAATAGGAACAAAAAGAAGAAAAAATTGATATTATTCCTTAGCTTCAGCCTTCAGACACACCGGATTCTGTTGAATAAACACAAAAATAATAAATACTGTTGAAACTAATAAGACAGATATCACAACCCATAACTCTCTATTCTTTAATGGCTTTTGCTCATTTTTCTCTGTTGATTGTATTATTTGGACATTATTCTCTATTCTGTAAACACCATCCAGACCCTCATTGCCTTCAGGGTAATATGTTTAAACGCTGCGATAGGTTATAGACGTATTAAACGATGGATATTCAACCTAAAGTGTAATTAACTTACATTTTGATGTGCAAACAATATAATATCATATAATACACCAGGGTTTATAACGGAGAATTTCATTCACGCTTACATACAAATGTTCGAATTCAATTTTTTAAATATCTATGTTGGTAAAAATACTATACAATGAAAGTTCATATTTTGATCCCGAATTAACTTACTTTTCGGATCCTGAAAATACACAACACAATAGCCTTGATCTGTGTTCATTTCTGTTTTAATGACCCCCTCCACGCCTGACCGTCTCTTGTTATCGAAGTAAAGTTCAATTGTACCATCTGTAGTTTTAGGACTGAAACCTTTCACTATAATACAGTCGGATTCTACTACATTGTGTACTGCTACGCGGTTTCCGTCAAGAGTCCTTTTTTTACAAACAGTTTGAAGTTGTCCAATATCTGCAAAGATAACGGTTAAGGTGGTACATAACACTACAGGGAGATAACCCTGTAAAAAATCAGCTGAACGTTTTAATCACGTTCTACCCGTATGAAAAACATGACACGTACTCCAGTCGGACAGCCGTACTGTAGCCGTACTGAGAACCATACTTATAATATTCATTTGGAATTTTCTTTGAATTGCTTATAAAAGATACCCCGGCTGGACTTTCAGCGAAATTAGCCGTAAACCGGCTCGAAATATTTAAATTAGCAGGAGTCCGGTTCATAAAGTCCAGCTGGACTTTAATAAAAGTACGTCTGAAAAAAAATCCAGCCGGCATTTCTGGCAAAAATATGGACTCTATAAAGTTCAGCTGGACTTTACAAAGTCCGGCTGAACTTTAAAAAGTTCAGCTGAACTCTATAAAGTCCAGCTGGACTTCAAAAAGTGCGGTTTGACTTTTAAAGATGATCTCAGCAGGGGTGAATCCAGCTATTTTCAAAAGGGGGAGGGGGTCCTAACTCAGGATAGGGGGGGGGGGGGGGGGGGGGGGGGTCCAACCATATGTCCCCATTCAAATGCATTGATTGTCAAAATAATTGGGGGTTCCAACCCCTGGAACCCTCCCCCTGGATCCGCCACTGCTCAGTTTTTCTTCAGATGGTTGATTCTTCTGATTTAATTTGCATCATTCATCCCTTGCTATAATCTGAAAATACAAAAAAACAAAACAGATGACATTATGCATATATACTGGTTATTTCTTTTTCTTTTTTAAAAAAATATAACAATACATTTTTTTACACAACAATTCAAAACAGGAAGTGACAGTGACATAACAGACAATGTGAAAACTATTGCATGGATATAAATATTTGATGTAGGTTTAAATTTTATTCTTTTTACACTTCAAAAATAAGAATTAAGCTAATTATAATATTGTAGTTATTTTATTAATATTTTGAATAAAAAGAGCATATCAGATAATATCACCAAAATGGTGGAATTCAATTTATTGTACTTACCAGAATTATGCAATCCAAAACACATGCAAACAGCAATCTTCCTAAATTGTCATTGATGCCAGTCAGAAGGATCCATCTTCTCTATTTAATGTGAAAAGAACTACTTCCAAACATTTGCTTTACATCCAATGATATAAAATTCTCATTTTGTTCAAGAAAGAAGACACATCTTCCTGTTTATTTCAAATTCAAATGTTGTTGTATTGCAATACATGAGGTTGTTTAACATGTTAAGGAGTTGTTTTAAATGTTCCTCTTATGACTAATTGCATGTGCCTTAATTTTGAATATGTGATATATTAAAAAAAGAAAATCATTTATTAATTTGTTTAATAATGAAATTTTTAATAAAAGTGATAGTTATTGCAGATATATGTATTTCGAAATGTGTTCTCCCACATATGGCCTCCATCTCAGTGGAGATAGTACTTCCTGTGACCTGTCCAGATTGACATTAATTGAAAACAGATGGCACATTTCTACAAGACTAACTGCTATTAAATCACAGTTATATGGCTCAAGTTTCTAATTGATGTTAAAGAATGAATGATAATTATTTATTTTATGCATTCATCTAATTAAATATAAATATACTAGAAAATGTATAAATTTGACCTGTAACAGATGTAATAGAAGTAAAAATGTTAAATAATTGTTGTATATTAAACAATTTTTTATTAACTTGGATAAAATTCAATCAGAAGTCACCAAAATTAAATTTTAACTTGTCATCAACAGTCTATGTTAAATATTTCTTAATGGAATTGAAAATCTAGGGAAAGTATCACATCTTATAGTTTGAACTAAAAGTATATTGCATAAAAATATTTCATCATTATTATTACCTGCAAACTTTCATTTTTAACTGTTTTACATTTTGAAAGAATTGTTCCTTTCAAAGAACAGAATCTATTATGGCAAACTTTTTATTTCTGTAAGGGTTACTAAGATTTGGCTGATGAAAATTTTCTAAGTCTAAATTCCTGCTCATAAATGAATGTAAAATTTTCTAAGACAAACATCCTGCTGATCACCCTACAGAAAGGAATAAATTTCCTCAAAAGTCCAGCTGTGTTTATTTTCTTGTAAGCATTACAAAAAGTGCGGTTGGACTTTTAAGAAAATACCGGCTGGCAAATAACCCAAGTATAAGAAAAAGTACGTGTACGGCTCATGTCAGACTGGACTTTTCAAAGTCAGACTGGAATACGGCTCAAGTCCAGCTGGAGTCCAGTTGAACTCCTGTTGAAATTTTCATACGGGCAATGTTGAGGAAACATTAACTTCTCAATGATCAAAATTGGTGTTTGTCAAACTGCTATATATCCAATTTTCCGATAACGTCAATGAAAGTGTGTGGTTCAAGTTTTTTTATTTTTTTTATTTTTATCAAAGGGTCACAGCAAATATTTTGTCAAAATTTTATGAAATTAAACGAGCCAAATTAATTTTAGTCAAGGTGTTTGGTACCTCCTTAAAACGACTAATAAAGAATTCATGGAAAAACTTTTGATGTGTACATGTATGGATTGTATTTTTGTTATCATTGTTATTGACGAAAAGTAAAATCACAAAAATACTGAACTCCGAGGAAAATTCAAAAAGGAAAGTCTATAATCAAATGTCAAAATCAAAAGCTCAAACACATCAAACGAATGGCTAACAACTGTCATATTCCTGACTTGGTACAGGCATTTTCTTATGTAGAAAATGGTGGACTGAACCTGGTTTTATAGCTAGCTAAAACCTCTCACTTGTATGACAGTCGCATCAAATTCCATTATATTGACAACGATGTGTGACCAAAACAAACAGACCGATAGGTAAAAATGTCAAAAATAGGGGTACAGCAGTCAACATTGTGTTATCATCTTAATCACTATAAAAACAAACAAATGTAACAAAGAAGCACAAAAAGGCATACATCTTTAACATCCTCTGGATGGGGGGGGGGGGGGGTCCTTCATTTCTGTTTTCTTTGATTTTTTAAGCCATTTTTCTCTATTCTTTATACTTTTTCCCAATTATTCTCTATTCCTTATATTTTAGCACCTTGTTATTCTCTCTTCTTTATTTTTTTGGTCCATTTATCTCTATTCTATATATTTTTGGCCCATTATTCTCTATTCTGTAAACTCCCATCTACTCCCTCATATTTCAAATGTTGTTTTTTTCAAATTATCTTTAGTTAGCTTGTGTTGCATTGCTGTGTTTGAAGAGTTGTCACCATCAAATTGTGATTTGACGCTCGAAAATATTCGTTTTACTGCATTTGCAACACTTTACGGTTAAATATCTAATTAACGGAGTTAACTCTTTATATACATTTGTACAGTACTAGATTTAGAATAGAGGCCAAAGACACCAAAGGGGTAATCAAATTCACAAGTCGAAAACAAAATGACAATGTCATGGAAAAACAGCGCAAAACCACATAAAGACAAACAACAGCATACAAAATACAAGATAGAAAACTAAAGACTGAGCAGCACAAATCTAACCAAACACCAGGGGTTATCTCAGTTGCTCCCGAAGGGAAGACAGATCCTCTTCCGCCTGTGGCACTCGTCGTGTTGCTCATGAAAGTACAAACCCGGCAACAAGTCTAGTTCGGGGTCACCTTCGAGAAAACGAGCACTGTATTCGGTTACGATATTTGAGGCATGGTGTTTCATATATATAAATAAAATTGACATTACACTGGTATTAGTATTTAGCAGATATATGTTTATATTGATGTGTACATGTATTTTTAATATTATAAATGACTCTTCATATACTTTTTGGTGTCTGTTGCCTCTATTCTTAATCTAGAACTGTATATGAAGAGTTATTTATAATATTATAATAGTGGGGTTCGTGTTGCAAAATATTCTAAATTTCTATGTAGTTGGTTGTAGCTGTTCAGTTGTTTGTCATTTTGTCGTTGTTTTCTTGGTCATGATTGTGTAAGTTTCTCTTGGATTTATAAGTTTGGATTTATTTTTGATATATTCCACCTCATATTTTTTTTTCATTAGCTAATAATTTAATTTTGGATGTAACACGTCTTCTGATTGGCTGAAAGTGTTTTGTCTATCAGCTCATAGACATAATTTTGTCATGTGACCGTGACGTCATCAATGTTTTTATCATGATTTACGCCTTTTTAGAATTAAATTATAAGGAATGACTGTAATATTTTTTCTGTCTATTCGAAATAACCTAAAAAATGTGGTGCACACCTTTAAATAACCCGCTACGCGGGTTATTCAGTGTGCACCACATTTTTGATGTTATTTTTTCATAGACAGAAAAAATATTACACTCATTCCTTAATGATTTAACATTATTTGTTTTATTCACACATTTTTGTCAATATAATAGAATTTTATGCGACTGTCATACAAGTGACCGGTTAAGCTAGCTATAAAACCAGGCTTAATCCACCATTTTCTACATAAGAAAATGCCTGTACCAAGTCAGGAATATGACAGTTGTTTTCCATTCGTTTGATGTGTTTGAGCTTTTGATTTTGCCATTTGATAAGGGACTTTCCGAATTTTCCTTGGAGTTCGGTATTTTTGTTATTTTTCTTTTTACTATAGAAATAAAATAAATTTAACTGTCTACCATGTCTATTATCTTTTTAGAATGCTGCAGATTTTTAAATGTTTCTATAAATTATGATCAATGAAGTATTGTCTACAATATAATATTTCAGAGTTTGAATACGCTCTTTCGTCTCTCTTTTTTAAATATGATACAAACAATGCACATACCGACCGGCTTTGAAAATGTAATGATTGCTGCTCCTGAATCTTGATCTCCAAACTCTACAGATGCCACGTCTTGTTTTGTTCTTGCTTCTATGAAGTTGGTAACATTATCTTCAGATGATTTTACATTCAATCCAGTAATCAGCGCCTTATTTATGTAATATTTTGGCGGGACATGTTTTTTCACATGTAACACAGCTCCTTCTACTTTATGTTCCTTTCTGAATATAACTGAAACATCTAAGAATTCAAGCATTAAAAAGGTTTTAATATGATCTAATATAGTACCGAAGTGAATGCATTTCTGCGTGAAACGAGTATTTCAATTTGATCATGACAGAATGCATAGGTATAAGTTCTTATTGAGATTTAACTATATTTTCATTGTTGTAAATTATGTTTACTATCCAATTCTTACTATCTAGAACAATCTAGAATGTTTCAATCAGTTTTCAAATTACGCAATATATACTATATTCAATATAAGAAATGCACAGGTTTTGAACACGGGCTAACTGTTTATAATTCCTTCTTCACTGCAGACTAATTGATTGAAATGTGCTGAATAAATCTCAGGGAAAATGTTTAAAGAAAGTTACAATGATTATGACTTAATAATTTATTAGTCATTTTTAAAGTCTGTGTGTGCATGTTGTCAAAATATACGATCTAGATGGGGTTCACAGAATAGAGATTACTGGCCTTAAAATAACGAATAGAGAAAAATGAGCCAACAAAGTTAAAGAATAGAGCATAATTGGCTGCAAAAGTATAAAGAATAACTGTGAAAAATATTAATAAGCCAATACACTATACTGATTACAGAAATGAACGATGCACAGAATAAACATAAATGTAGTTATATCTAATGGTAAAATCATTTTCATGAGAATTTTTTCAGAATATCCCTACAATCTACAAAGATAAAACAAAATGCCGTGGAAAAATTATAGAATATAGACATGAAGGAACACCATCCAGACCCTCATATATGATTTAAATTGGTTACAAAAAGTATATTTTTTAAATATGACGACATAATCGGTGTAAGATTTGACACATGATTAAATATTTTGTTTTTTAATCAAGAATAATATTAATGTTTGATTGATGGATCGTCTTTTCCTTAACGTCCAGTGACAAATATTTCATTAATATAACTGAAAACTGAAGAACAATGCATAATTACGCTGCTTATGATAAGGTTTAACAAATCTTTCATGCATGCTTTTAAAGATATCTATAACTTGAGAAATTGTGTAATATTCTATTTTTTTCAACCTCATGACACTATAGATATCCAGATTAATAAGGATTGGAATCTTGGTAACGGGGTGGGTGTTATTGTCCGTAATGATATAAATCGCGGGGAATGTGACAAGGCGACATTTTAATCCCCAAAATTTTTTATTTATTTTCGATCAAAGGGGAAGGGGTACAATTTCTATATGCCACCCACTTGAATGTGCCCCTATTTTTAGCGTCAAAAGCATTTGTTTTGGGTCATCAACTGAACATGTTGAATGCTTATTGGTAACGTGTGGTGGATATGAGCGCAGTCAACACTGATTTAATTCCATCATATTTTTTTCGGAGGAGTCCTAAATAGCTTTATGTGATTGGAATATAATATGATATTGGGGGTATGGAAGGGAGTGACTTTGGCCTTTCAAGTCCCTCTACTCCTGAATTAAGACTAAAACACAGTAGTATTAATATGATATTCAGTTCTATATCTCCAATATATACTAATACAAGAGGCTGTCAGAGAGACAGCAAACGGGATTTTCCTGAAGAGGTCGAATCCTGAACAGTTGAGCAAGTATGGACACAACATTTAAGCTTAAAACAGCTCTGAATTTGGATTGTGATTGAATATTTGATACAGCATGGGTTTGTGACACAAAATAAATGTGGTCAAAGAACTGAAAAATTTGAAATTGAACATTTACCTATTATGGTCCAATATCCAAAATCTAAGTACATTGCTAGAATCAGCATATCAAAGAACCCCAAGAATTCAATTTTTGATGAAATACTTCTTAGTTAAACCATTTCTGTTCAAATGGAAATAACTCAAACTTTATTTATAATGTTTTAAAATTAAATATGATTTAACCATAGACTCTAAAATTAGATATGATGTTATATTTATTTTTAAATTATAATCAAATATAATTTATAATTTTCTAATAAATCTGTCACTCCAATTATTATTGGGTGATTGCATTGACAATTACCAGACGTGTGTTATCTTATCACTTAGTGTAATCAAACTTTATACATATAGTTGATAGTTCCCAATATTTTTTCTTTCATTTGTAACATACTAATATAGATCTGCAAATTATCTTATCTTAATTTTAACTTTTTAACTTATGAATAATAGGTTATTATCTAATGAATTTTCAAATCTGGAACCCCAAACAGGATCAAGTAAAAATTAAAATTAACAGACACAACAAAAATTATATACATATATCACACAGAAAATAAGTTTTTACAGAATAACAAACACACCATAAAATTCTTCAAACAATTTACCAAGGAAAAGAAAAATTAATAATGAAAATCATACTTGCAAATCTGAAGGGTTATTTCCCTTTAAACAGAACTATGGTTCAACATAGTTCTCTAACATTACATATATAATTATTAGTAATGTTATTAACTTCAAAATGTCTATTTCTTAAAAACCTATAAAACTTATCTGTAATTATCTTCAAAGTGTCTAATAATGAACAGTAAATTTCAAACTTCATTTATTCAGTCCTACTAGTAAATTTCAAACTTTATATATACAGTCCTACAGATCTTATCAGAAAACAGAAAATTTTCAAATAAATCTGTCACTCCAATTATTATCATATGCTAAGATATTTCCAAGATCTAATCAAAAATGAAAATCATACTTGCAAATATGAAGGATTATTTCCCTTTGAACAGAACTATGGTTTAACATAGTACTCTAACATTACATATATAATAATTAGTAATGTAATTAACTTCAAAATGTCTAATAATATAGCTTATAATCATCACCACATAGGAAATAGAAAATTTTCAAATAAATCTGTCACTCCAATTATAATTGTGAGATAAGACATTTACCATATGCTTATGATTACAAGAGTAAAATATTTAAAAATACCACTTTTGGATATTAAAAATGGCAATAACTCAAAAAGGAGAAATCCTACAATCGTGAAAATTGAACTTGACCTTCATTTAGTCACGAGAAACAACATATCTAAATTTAAAAAAAATCATCACAGCGTTTTCATGTTATTGAAGAGACACTGTTTGGCAGCCGCCCGCCGTACATCCCCAATTAATAACCGATATTTCCTTCCAAAATCCGGTTAAATATGGCATATTAAATTATTTCTATGCAAAATTTCAACGCGAACGTGTATCGAACGTCTCTTAATTTTGGAAAGCAAAGCACATATACAAGGGAAGGATTTCCATCGAATGTTAACACCTTTAAGTCAACTATGTCGTCTCCACGCAAAGGCATTAATTCTAATTTATTTTTAATTCATTTTACGAAACGTAAAAAAAATGAAAGCAAATTGGCTCTCTATTTATTTTACACCAATACCATTTTTTAAATCTCGAGGCCAAAATAATGTGTACGGCTTGGGTAATATTGTCTTTTATCTATCTCAATATCCAAATAAGAACAATCAAGACATCTAAAGGTCATGATTACCCGGAAAAGTTGAGTGGCTAAATTAACCCCCTGTTTTCAATCGGGTTCAGGGGCTTCGGTGGCCGAGTGGTCTGAGTAGTTACTACTGTAATCACTAGCCAGTCAACACTGAGGTTGTGAGTTCGAACCCCGCTCGTGCGGGTGCACTCGACTCCAATCTTAATTGACTAGGATTGTCAGTTTTCCTATCGAAGATCGGTGGTTTTCTCCGGGTACTCTGGCTTCCTCCACCAATATAAACTGGCCGCCACGAAATAGCCCAAAAGCGGTGCTTAAAAGTGGCGTTAAAACACCAAAAATCAAATCAAATCAAATCAATCGGGTTCGTATTCCTTATTCATTATTGGTCTGTGTAGTGTTTTGTTAAAAAAAAATAAAAATTTTAAGCTATTCAAACGATTAAAATCAACGGCCTGATTCATGACAAAACAATAAACGAAAACAAATATGGCAGATAATTATCAACGACAACCACTGATAATTAAGATGAGGATAATGACGATGGACGGCTTCTTAACGTCCAGCATCAAATTAATATGCATATTCAGGACGAATACATGTTAATGTAATACGAATATTTACCCTGCTTTGCACTAGACCGACACGCTGAGCCGGATTTTTAACATGCTAGTTCACAAGGTAACAGTCCGCAGGAAAACATGTCACCTTAGCCGAACACATAATTCTGACTCCGGGCCGACCAGTCTGTGCCTTTACTCCTTAATGCAGCGTGCTTAGCGGATGAGCAGCAAATACTAATTTTAAAGTCTTTGGTTTGAACGGGCCGGGGTTCGAACCCACGACCTCCCGCACTCAAAGCGAACACGCTACCACGAGACCACCGAGACGGTTCTGATAATTAGACAGGCTTCTGGCTTGGGACTGGCACATACAGAATGTGGCTGGATAACAGATGTTTGTGAGCGCCAAAACCTTCCCTAACCTAGGACAGTGGTGTTACAGATCAACATATAAGAAACAAATTAAAAAATCAGTTGGAAATTGACTCATCAGATTGGGTTGAAACATGTACATACCAGAGCGGCCGTAAATTTTTCTTTTAAACAGGGAGAAGGGTAATTTTTTTGTTAAAATTATTCCTTGTCCCCTCCGCTTGTAAATAGATATATGAAGATGTGGTATGAGTGCCAATGAGACAACTCTCCGTCCAAGTTACAATTTATAAAAGTAAACCATTATAGGTCAAGGTACGGCCTTCAACACGGAACATTGGCTCACACCGAACAGCAAGCTATAAAGGGACCCAAAAAATTACTAGTGTAAAACCATTCAAACGGGAAAACCAACGGTCTAATCTATATAAAAACGAGAAACGAGAAACACGTATGAACTACATAAACAGACGACAACTACTGTAATCAGATTAAGTATGTTACCAAAAAAACTGAAAGAATAACACCTTGCTTACCTTCATTTTCATCAAAAGACACTAAGAACATGTTTTTGTTAGGTACAAATCGAATATCTATAACGTCACAGTTTGCCCCTCGTCTTGATTCAAAATAATACTTGATAGTGTCTGATGATGTTGTTTCTTTCATTCCCCTAACTTCGACAGTATATTTAGTCTCTGTAGCAGAGGCCCGAAGTTCATTTGACTTTTCCATTCTGCTTCTGTAATTATTCACAATAATGTTATATTTGTGAAGCCCCTCATGTGGGTGTCCAAGTAATCACATAATCACAAATTTTTGGCCAATATAATCACATGATCATTAATTATTTTTTTAAACAAGATAATCAAATAATCAAAAATATAGTCCTAGATTATCAAATAATCATATAATCATGAAATATTTGGTCTGGTAATCAAATAATCACTATAAAAACGGCCAAGTAATCACATAATCAAAAACCCCATGAGGAGGCTCATTTGTTTCAAACAAGTATCCAAGTTGTTTAATGTGAATTATGCTTTCGTGCAAAACTCTTCTTATCGCCTTGGCTTTCAAATGTTTGGGTTTGAGAGTTCCTGATGGAGATAAATATAGATAAGCGCTTCGGGCGCACGAAATTAATAAAGTGTCATTAGACAATAGTCTACAGAATACTGCATAAAAAATACTTAGGACGGAGCATTACGAACCATAAATAAAAACCGGGAAATAACATGGGTTTTTCAAAAGGGGAGGCAGATCATGCACCGGATATGGCACCTGTCGTGTTGCTCATAGTGAGTAAAAACTCGATGAAAAGTTTCTCCAGGTGATGCCACATTCCAGAAAAAAGGACAGGATTTTGGCTATGACAATTGGATAATTGGTAATTTGTGATAAAAATATTCTTTATCAGTGGACCAACTTATGATTGAGTCGTCGACGTAAAACTTTCTTTTCCTCTATATTTTTATTATAGTTTTCAAGACGATAACTAAAACACGAAAATGTTAAAAATTTTATTGAAGGGCAATTCCTCAAATAGCCGTTTGATATTTTTGTTTTTTTGTTTTTTTGTTTTTTGTTTTTTTTTGGAAATTGACAGTATATAGTTAATTCTTGACATTCTTAACATGTTTAGCTAGCTAGTTGTCAGAATTTTTCCAATTTGAAAGGATATCGATTTATCCGGCGTAATACTGAGACGATACTTGCATTTTCCTCCATATTCTATTTTAGCTAGCCTTGTTAACCTTGTTGCTTGGCACATTAGATAATCACTTAAATACTTGTTTTAAATAAAGATATGTGTACATGGTGTACCCAAAGAATAATTGAAAACAACTTTTGGTATAAATCGACCAGGTAGTTCTATAGAAGATTACCAGTGGCGGATCTACGGGGCGTAGAGGGCAACGCCCCTTTTTATCGCCAATTCTTTAACTTGGTATTCGCAGATGCACTTTCCTTGTTTTGATAGATAATTAAGAAATGACATTGATTAGCTTAAGATTATATTTTTGGTTCAGGAGGTCTTCATATCTGTATTCTTATCAGTGGCGGATCGTAATATGTAATAATCCAGCCATTTTTAAAATGGGGGTTCCAATCCAGGACAAAAGGTGTGTGTGTGTGTGGGGGGGGGGGGGGGGGGGGGGGTGTTTCCATGGGTTGGGTCAATGCTTTTCAATGGGGACATATGGTTGGAACCCCCCCCCCCCCCCCCCCCCCCCCCCCCACACACACACACACACACACACACACCTTTTGTCCTGGATTGGAACCCCCATTTTAAAAATGGCTGGATTATTACATATTACGATACTGCGATAAACTTATTGTCGCTTTGTTTGCGATGCTATTAAATAACAAAAAAAAATCGAAACGAATTTCAGAAAATACACCATTGTGTCTAACTAGGTCATGATCTTTAATCATTAAGGGACACAATTTTGTAAGCAATGGTAAACTGAAAATAGTTCGACAATTTTCATGCATGTATACAAAAAACCGTGACCATGGTCAATCGAGTGATGATTTAAAATATAACATACAATGACTGCTGCAAGTACGTCACCCTTGTCACGTCATAGCAAGAAACTGTTCTACATATGAACCATACATTTCTAGAGTTCTATTGTAAATATTTTACACGAATGTAGTGAAACTATTTTACCTTGATACTTCTGAGTCGACACTTAGATGATATGAAAACTCAAACAATTGTCAATTTCCTACAATCCCAAATTTACTTTCACTTTTGGTTTTGATTACCTGGTATCTATTTTTAGACATCTCTATGTGTGATGGATTTTCCTAGGCGTTAACATATTGTTTACTTTAATTATGACTACACAATAAATGTAAAATGATATATATATATATATATATATATATATATGTATGTCTGCCTATGTGTAGTGACAACTGTAAATTATACCTTGTCCATCGGATTTCTTATGATTAAGAAATGCCAGGCTTTAGAATATTTATAAAGTGCCTAGAAAATCAACCTAACAATGTTAGAGTAGATTTGATTCTTTACTTCCTCCCCAAGCGGGGCTGGAACCTGTACTTTTCACTTCATACTTCTACGGCAACACGCATTGCGCAGACGCCTTATCCCCTCCTCTAACTATAGCTGATAAAAATCAGCTTTCGTTTCGGGAGGTGGTACCTTCTCGTAGGAATTAAACAAGGACATCTAGACGCAATACACAAAGTATTTCAAGTGTACAGAAATGATCATCTACTCATCTCTTTAGTATAATTACAGGATGCTGTTCTATTTTTAGAAGCATACAATCACTGTAAATTAATATATATGTATGTCTGCCTATATATAATGGCTAAATTATTAGAGAATACAGAAAAAAGACCAGTCCCAGCCAGACCTTCATATTTCATATCTTATAGGTGATTTTATATTCCGTCAATTTCTTATTTCTGTACTGACTCGGTCAATTTATGACACGTTTTGCGGGTCAATAATTAGTATTAATTAAAATGTTTCTCGTTAGGTCTTAACAGTAAAGGAGGGGGACATATAGAAGGACAGCATATAAATTACTTTTACTGTAATAGCGTATGGATAAAAGCAAGAACACATTAAAGCGCATGTGTTCAGTTATTGAATAAAATGATAGACACTTGACGAAGACAACCAACAACCTTTCACATTTGTTTTGGTTTTCTTTTTTAATTGTAACGTTTAACAATTTGTCATATCGGCTTTTATAGCTTAATTACAATACGGTAAGGGTTTTGCTCATTGTTGATGACTCAGTATTCCGCCACCTATAGTAGTTTATATATACCTTATTTTGTCTCTGACTGAAAGTTATAATTATTTTCTTTCCTAAAAAAAAAATGAATGCAATAATAATCTATACACTTAAGGATGTAGTTAGGTGAAATTAAAAAAATCTAGAATTTAAAATTGATACTTATATAAGTCAGAAGAGCATTAGTTAAGGAACAAATAAGCTAAAAATATTGATAGGTCATGGAGGTATTTGAATTTTTTTAAATGGCGGGAAAGGGCTGACTCGGACGTTTACCTTACATTTAGCATTGGCATTATTTGTGTCTCAAATCGGTAATGACCTATTTATGAGCTATTGAAGTTTTCTATGAAAAGAAAAGTGGGTAATATGGGGCAAAATATTTTACCCTGTATCGTAGGAAAAAACCGCACATCTGACAAAAATTCTTAAACCTGACCTGACTACATCCTTAATGTAAAAGAGAGGCGAATGATATTAAAGGGGTAATCAAACTCATAAAGTCGAAAACAAATGGCAAAGCCATTGCAAAAAAAAAGCAAAAGAAAGGTTGTCAATTGTTTTTGGGGGGCGTTGTTGGATTGCTGTTTATCGGTATATACCCCCAAACCATATATTAATCATATGCATTGTATCATTACTTAGTATACAGTAGTTTGATTATGAAAAATTAGCAAAGAAGATATACTAAGTCGAATATTATGATATATTTTTAGAAAGTAATCATTAAAAAGATTTCTTGGTGAAAATATAAATGTAGAAACAAGGTTTTATTGCTTATTTTATAAAAAAAAAAAAAATCAAACACAGAAGACCGTATTACAGGATAATTTACAAAATGCATGATCACACAGAATATGTAATTCGGCAGGATACTATAATATGTTATCTTGTATTAAGATACTCGTTACTTAATTCAACATCTTAAATTTTATTTATAACTGCATTAATTGTTCACCATTAATCAATAACTTCTTTCGATATATCGTTTTGTAAATCTACATGTCAGGGTATCATACAATGTAAGAAAGGAAAGCTACATATAATATTTATTAAAGTTATGTACACCGGTATGTAAACATTATCACGTGTAATTGTTTATAATTGATACATGTGTTGAATGTATATAATAGGTTAAATGTTTTTCATTGGTTGAGTAAGAAGTGACCATGATATTTGAATAAGGTCAATTTAAACATTTCGTGCTATTATTTTGGCCGTTGTGTGAATTGAAGATATTCATTCGAGGTTCGCTTTTGGTGCAGTAAAGTTGTAAGTTTGTGCTTAACCTGAGTATGTCAGAGATTCGAGAAGGTAGTCCAATGTTTGAAGGTGAGACTGAGCATTCACACATTTCCAATGGTAATTCACAAAGTCGCAACCATATAGCAGAAGAGCGTCGTGATTTGGCCGGTACCTTTGAACTTTTTAAAGTGTATTTTGACAATAAACTAGTTGATCTCAAATCTGATTTGGTCCGTGAATAGGACGTTATTTCGAAATGTTAAAAGAAGAAGTTTCGCTAAAAGTTAAGCACGAGGGCAATAAAATCTAACACAAGTTTAACGAAGAAGTCATTACAGAGCTAAACAAGGTTGATAGCTTTGTTCCCCGTTCTGAGACGAAGGTATCACGTATTATAATAGACCTCATAGACAAGGTTAAGGGCAGAAACAAAGTAATACGTATAGCAGATACTTCAGCCAGTGGTTGGGCTACTGTCAGAGAATATGAATCAAATTTAATTACTTCGGATTCCGAAGATGAAAAGAAAATCCGATTGGCAGAGTCCAGAGCCATGCGTACTATTAAAGATAAATCCCGTCGTCCACATCCTAACAAGACAACTTCTAGACCAGTTCCTGTTGAAACTGCTCCTGATCCTTATTATGTCAATCAGTGCAAGCGTCAGAACCCGCCGCCCTTTCGAGTCGGCGTGAGCCGTCCCAACATAGCATGTGACATGCCTGTAAACAATTTGGTCACTGGAGAAAGAACTGTCCGCTACTCAAAAGCAACCAGTTCAACAACAACAATACACCTAATGATAAGTACTTATATTTATTTTTTGATTTTGATAGTGATTATTGTTTAAATCACGATATTGAGATTTTGCTTAAACAAGTAGGATTTTTTGAAAATTTCAAATCTAACACGGGTATTTTCTCTGGTGTAAAAGGAAGGTTTGCAAATAGTATTCGGTACTGGGAGCATATTGGTGCTAATTCTTTTATTTTCGACACATTGAAAAATGGATATCTTATTCCATTGATTGATAGTCCTTCGAACATGTACATGAAAAATAATAAATCTGCTCTTCAGAATAATGAATTTGTTAGCAAATCTGTCAATGAACTTGTTCTTTCAGGTTGCGTTATTGAGGTACCATTTCAACCTTACATTGTCAATCCGCTGAGCGTAGCTACCCAAAAGTCTGGGAAAAGGCGTCTAATTTTAGATTTGAGCACTTTGAATTTATCGGTGAAAAAAGAAAAGATTAAATTTGAAGATTGGAAAATAGCTGTGCAATACTTTCAGAAAAATGATTATCTGTATAAATTTGATTTAAATCTGGATATTTTCATTTGGATATATGTCTACAGCAGCACACTTATTTGGGTTTTTCGTGGGAAGAGAAATTCTATTGTTTTACTGTTTTAGCATTTGGTCTTTTCACGGGTCCCTACATATTTACCCAGTGTCTCAGACCATTGGAGTATTCAAGTATTGGGGAAAAAATGGTAAAACAATCGTTTTATATCCTGATGACGGATTTGGTATGAATAACGACAATAATGAATGTATCAAAGATGCTGAATTCGTGAGACAAATTTTTGGCACTGAGCCTTTTATTGCTCCAGTATTGGCAGTAAAATCAGATGCGACAAGGATGACAAGGCTCTAGTACACTAATGTGTATTGTAGCAGGCATGGTGGTTGTTGATAAGGCCCTAGTGTATATATACATTGTGGAAAGCATGGTTACATTCAACACGGCCCTAATCTATATAATTTATGTTCGCTTTAATTTATGAATTAGAACATAAATATATTTATTAAAGTTATGTACACCGGTATGTAAACTTTACCACGTGTATTTGTTTATAATTGATACACGTGTTGAATGTATATAATAGGTTAAATGTTTTTCTTTGGTTGAGTAAGAACTGACCATAATATTTGAATAAGGTGCTATACTTTTGGCGGTTTTGTGAATTTAAGATATTGTCATTCGCTTTTGGTGCAGTAAAGTTTCCCACCCTCCCACCCGACAAAATGTATTTTTCTTGTGTTATTTTTGAATTATGCTAATAATAATGTGTGTAAGAATAAAATCTTTAGTTTGATTCATAATTTGTATTTGCGTACATAATGAAAATTGTTTTTATCCTTGTAGATTGGGTTTTGCGTTTGTTACCTGCAGCGGCCTAGGCAGACAGTAACAGATGCACTTTAGTTTGCATTTGTCTTAAAAAAAAGCTTTGTTGCACACTGTCAGACGGGCTGATCACATACAAAGGTGTTGAGTTTATTCTATAAATAATATATGTTCGCTTAAATTTACGAATTAGAACATAATCGTATATTGACTCATTTCAATAGTCAATTAAGTCGTTTCCATTAGTAAACTGCTGCTGGTCCTTGTATTGTATGCAGTCTTCATACGTTTACAATATTGAACACCTTCTGTTGGCTACGATTACTGCCATTATAGCTTATAATGGTCACTTTCATGCATACAATCTTAATAGAAACAAAGTGAATATCTTGACAAATGAAGTTCCAACATAGACCGATGGAATTAAGAAGTGAAAGCCTTTCTGTTATGAGACAATAAACGATTTCAAATGGTAAACGTTTTTTTTTTTTTATTTTTTTTTTTTTTTTTATTTTACACTTTTATTTCATTTATTCTTACCTATAAGTGAAAATATATGAAATATCTGACAATTTTACAAAAACTTAGGATGAAT